GTCTTTAGGGTTTTCTAAGTATACTATCATATCATCTGCATAGAGAGATAATTTTATCTCCTCTTTTCCAATTTGGATTTAGAGGTATTTTTATAATGTGGATCATCCACATCATTCTACCTTAAAAAACACTTTTAGTGATGAAATATGAAAAATTTAAAATATACTACTGCTATCAAAAGATCAGATTAAAAGAATAAGCACACCAAAGCATGAAGAAGATAATGTAGCTGTGTGAATTTATTCTGTTAAGTATTTTACAGTTTAAAGATTTTATACTAAAAAATATTTCCCCTTGTTACATACTGTTAAAGCATATTGGTAATTCATGATCTCAAAGTGTCAAAAAATATAATAAAGTTGTTGAATAAATCAGAGACAAGGCCTAACAATACAGGTCTAGCATAAATAAAATGAATGAAATTGTCCTAAAAACCTAAACCTTTTATTAACTGTAAAAATATAAAAAAAAAATAATAGTGGAAACATGCATAAACTGTTCTTTTTTGGGGAAATACAGTAGCACTCATATCAGACATCATCAAATTTTCTTTTCTTAGCGACTATAGTCTTTGATTTCTCTAACATGTTTGCAGACTTCTTCTGGAAGTTACTTGATTTTTTTTCTTGCTTTTTTGTATCCACTTGTTCAGAAAGACAAGTTGGAGATGATTCAACCTGCAAAATAAGCAAGTACCCTGGTAAAAATTGAGCTGTTAGTGTTCTTGGTATTAATAATTCAAAATTATTTTCTTTTATAATTAGCTATTTAATGGTCTATTCTGTTATATTTAAAGTTCAAATACAGGCCTTAAACTTCTTGAAGAGATAAGGCTATCCTGTCAGGAAAAAAAAAAAAGCAAAGAATGCCAGAAGTGTCCTCAGACACAAATAAGTGGCATGATTTTTGCAGGCTTCATAGTATTTGGTTGATAACAGAGGTCTTTAGCTTCTGGAGCTATACAGGAAGACCCCAACCCTTCCTGATTATACTAAGTGGAATGAGGGTAGAGCACATCACAAGTTCAGACATTTAAGTGCACCTCTCACATTCAAAGTTTGGAAGCCCCTCCCACTCCAAACTCACTGTTGGAGAGTCTAGTCCAACTCATAGCAACCCTCTAAGGCGAGAGGAGAACTATTCCATAAGGTTTTAGAAACTAAACCTTGACAGAGTAAGACTGCCTCCTCTTTCTCCCAACGAAGCCGCTGATGTGTTTAAACCTTTAACCTTTCTTTCAGTTCAATGCTTTGCCCATCATGCTACCAGGGCTTGTTGGAAATACTTAATCTATCTTAAAAGTGCTAAATTCTTTTAAAAAAAAAGTTCTAAATTCTTCTACTTAATATCTCGACAGCAAATGTTATTTTTCCCCCATACAAGCAAACAACTTGACAAATTATTCAAAGGAAATCCTATATACATTAAGGTACTTTAGAAGACTATACAGAAATTTAAAATTAATAGTCAGTCAATTACCCTGAAACAGCTCTGTGTAGACTTCTTTACTTGCATACTAATAATATGTGCCTCATTGTTGAGAAGATTGGCTTTAGGTCCTATTTTCAAATATGAAATGGTAGCATAGGCTGTAAAACTGTAGTCTTCCCTGCAAAAGATAAAGTCTACAATCAGGTTTCAAACGCATCACTATCAAAACACCCAAGTTTTTAAAAGAAATAACTATGTGCAATAATCTAAAATAGTAACACAGATGGAATAAGATCCAATAGTGTGTAGAAACTGTCAAACAGTATCACACACAAGCAAGATCCTGCTGAAGATTATCCAAAAACGACTAGAAGAGTAAGTACATTGACAGAAGTGTCAGAAATCCAAGCCAGGTTTAGAAGAGGCCGTGGCACTAGGAATATCACTGCCAATGATGTCAAGTGGATCTTAGCTGAAAGCAAAGAGTCCCAGAGGAATGTCTGTGTTTTGTTGACTGTGCAAAGGCATTTGTGGATCACAACAAATTGTGACTAACCTTGAGAAGAATGGCGATCCCAGAACACTTGATTGTGCTCATGCAAAATGTATACTTTGACCAGGAAGCAGTCGTAAAAACAGATCAAGGAACACTGCATGGTTGGTTCAACATTAAGAAATAATTGTGTCCAGGATGTGTCTTTGCTCTATAACTTCCCCACCCCCCCTACCTTTTCAATCCATTTACAGAATCATTCAGGAGGCTGGATGTTACGAGGAAGACTGTGGCAACAAGATTGGTAGAAGACTCATCAACAACTTGCTTTATGCAGATAATACAGCCTTGCTTGCTGAGAGTGGAAGGACCTGAAGCATTTGCTACAGAGGTCAAGGACTATAGTCTCCAGTATGGATTCAACATCAAGTTCAACATGAAGAAAACAAAAGATTCTCACCACTGGGCCAATTAGCAGCACCATGATAGATGGAGAAAAGATTGAGATTGTTAACAATTTCAGCTTGCTCAGATCCACAATCAACACTTTTGGCACCAGAAGTCAGGAAATCAAAAGATGAACTGCACTTGGAAAGTCTGCTTGCACTGGGAAAGTGTGCTGTCAGGGACACTAGAGACTAAGGTGCACCAGATCCAGGCCATGGTCTTCCCAGATACTTGCTAATCATCAGTGAACTGGACAGTGACTATGGGTGACAGAAGAAGAATGGATGCCTTTGAGTTGTTGTGCTGGAGAAGAGTACAGAACATATCATGGACTGTCAAGAGAACAAGCGGGTCTGTCTTGGAGAAGTTGACACCAAGTTTCTTCTTAGAGGCAAGGATTTTGAAGCTTTGTCTCATGTACTTGGGCATGTTGCCTGTAAAGTCCAGTCCTTGGAGAAGGACATCATGCTTGGATGGGGGGAGGAGATGGTTTGACACAGTTACTGGGGTAATAGGGATAGATGTGTCAGAGTCAGTGAGTTTGGCTCAGGATAGGACAGAGTTCAGATCTTTTGTTCTTGGGGTGCTATAAGTCACAGGTTTGACACAGTTACTGGGGTAATAGGGATAGATGTGTCAGAGTCAGTGAGTTTGGCTCAGGATAGGACAGAGTTCAGATCTTTTGTTCTTGGGGTGCTATAAGTCACAGTAGACTAGACAGCATAGAACAAAGTTAAATGTATATTTATAAAAATACTTTTATTTAGTGTTTTTATCAGTTAAAGTTTAGTTAATGAGTAAATTTTCTGTAGCACTTAAAAGGTTACATAAGGCAGCTTCAACCCATTTATTCTGTTGCAGTTTGTTAAAAGTCAGAAGAAACCACCATTAAAGACACCATAATAGGGCAGGAAATGAATCAGTACATACTTAAGATACTGCTGAAGAAGAAAATGTGCAATCATTTTCTCCAGGTCATCACGAGGAAGTATGGGAGGGGCAACACTCGCCACCCTCAATTTCGATGCACCCTTTCCCATCCAGGAATCAATCAGTTTCAGTGGAGTTAACTTTTCATTCAGCTCCTCTGCATGTTTCAAGATCTTGATTAAATCTCTGCAGTACTGTGTTACATTCTTTCTTTCAAATGCTGTAATGAAAAGGCATGGTGCAAGCAATTAATATTTAGAAATGAGGGCAAGGAGAGGATATCCTAGTAAGCTAAACTTGTTTCAAACCAGTCATCCTGTTGTAAGCCATCCTTAACACTGATAAGCTAGGATGTCATGAATTAAAACTATCTTTAAGACTATCACTAGACGAAGCCAGTCACCCTTAACATTAGATCATGTGTTATAAATTAAGATGAGCTATCATTAAGTCCATTACTAGACCTAGTTACAGGCTCTGTCAGATACTGTGGGGTTAATGCTAATGTGATGAAAATATAAACCTAGCTATCAGGTCTGTGGTATATATAAAGAACCAGGGAATGTCTGCCAGAGACGATGAGGATAAGTATTAAAATGTGTGCTCTATGGGATAGTCTGGTCACACTTTCTTACCTGATTTCTGCTAATTAACAAATCTGAAAACCAGTATGGTATTCAAACCTACTGGCCTCGAGTCCTCCTAACTCACAACAACCCTCCATCAGGTTTCCAAGGCTGTAATTCTGGGAGGACATTGCCCATTTTTTTTCCTGAAGAACAGATGGTGGATTCAAACTCCTAACCTTCTGATTAACATCCAATATACTGAAAACTATGCCACTGTTATTAGATGCCACTGAGTTGAGTACAACTCATCATGACCCTATGAACAACAAATCTGAACACTGTCCTACCCTGTGCCATCCTCATCATCACACACTTGAGCCCACTGCTGTAGTCACTGGCAATCTCAAATTAACGAGGGTCTTCCTCCCAGGCACCTTTCCAAGCATAATGTCCCTTTCCAAAGAATAGCCTCTCCTACACCATGCCCAAAGTGTGTGAGACAAAGCTTCCTCCAAGGGGCACTCTGGCTGCATTTTTCCCAAGACATTTGTTCTTTTGATAGTCCATAGGATATTAAATACTCTCCTCCAGTACCACAACTCAAAGGCATCAATTCTGCTGCCACCCTTATTCACCTATCAGCTTTCAGAAGCATACTGTTGTTATTGTTGGTGCCATTGAGTCGAATATGACTCACAGTGACCTTATGAACAGCAGATCTGAACCCTGTCCTAGCTTGTGCCATCCTCACACTCCGCGACACACTAGAGCCCACTGTGGCTGTTTTTGTGTCAATCCACCTGTTAAAGGGTCTTCCTCTCCTTCGCTGACCTTTCCAAACATCATGTCCTTCTCCAAGAAATAGCCCCTTCTAGCAACATGCCCCAAGTGAAGCCTCATCATCTGTGCCTTCAAAGAGCACTCCAGTGGCACCCTAGGATGCTTAGTAAGTGATTGAAAAGATTGTGGCCTAATCAGCGCACCTTAGACTTCAAAGTAACATCACCGCTCCTTAGTAATTTGGAGAGGTCCCTAATAGCAGACTTGCCCAATGCAATACATCTCCTAATCTCTTAACTGCTGATAGAAAGGATGTTGACTGTGGATCTAAGTAAGATGAAACTGTTGAGAATTTAAATATTTTCTCCATCTATCATGATGTTGCTTATCAGTCCAGTGGTGAGGATTTTGCCTTCCTGATGTTTAGATGCAATCCATATTGAAGGCTGTATTGTCTTTGATCTTCTGCAGCAAGCGATTCAAATCCTTGTCACTTTCAGCAAGCAAGGTCATGTTGTTTGTTGTTGTTATGTGCCGTCGAGTCACCTGCGACTCATAGCGACCCTATGTACAACAGCCCTAAACTCCGCTCTGTCCTGTGCCAATCGCACTGTCTCTGACACTCCCATCCCAATTATCCCAGTCACTGAAGCAAGGTCATATCACCTGATAATGCAGTGTTGATGAGTCTGTTATCTATCCTGATGCCCCCTTCTTCATAGCATCCAGCTTCTCAAATGATTTGCTCAGCAGACAGATTGAATAGGGATGGAGAAAGGATACAACCATGATGCATACCTTTTCTAATTTTAAGCCATGTAGTGTTCCCTTGTTCCATTTGGACAGCAGCTTCTCAGTCTAAGTTAGGGTTCATCTGAGTATAATTAAGTGTTTTGGGATCTTTATTCTTCTCTACACCACTAGGTACTATGAATTAGACACATTTATTTCCTGGACAGATATCCCAATTATTAATTAACAGATTAATATTCTTATTTGATGACAAACCCCTGTTAATCTGGTGAGCATGAAACAGTTTCCTGAACTCACAGACAAGTAAATTTCACAAGCTGCAAAGTTAAAAATCCACCAGACAAGACATTAGAACTCAATGAGGTCTTGCATGAAGAACTGGTTAGCCTTGTTCTTTGAGTTAGTGTCTCATAAATTGTCATCATCTGGGTCAAAATGTTCACTAGAATATATTTTGCATAAAATTTCTTTTCCCAGTTAGTGGTTGTTAAAGGTTATCACAAAGTTATAACAGCTATTTTTATATATAAGTAGCATATCTATTCAGAATAATTTAACACTTTTTCTTCATTTTGTAAAAATTTTATATGGCATCAGCACTATACATAGATGATAGATAGATATAGATAGATAGATAGATAGATAGATAGATAGATAGATAGATAGATAGAAAGAACTGTTGATATATGACTTCGAGTTGCCTGTGACATTAGCTCTGAACCCTACCATATCCTGAGCCAATCTCATCATCTCCAACAATCCCATCATACATTTCTCCAGTCACTGAGTCAATCCATCTCATCCTGTGTTGTCTTCTCCTGCACTGCCCCTCTCCAAGGACTGGTCCTTCCTGGCCATGTGCCCAAAGTTTGTGACATGGAGCTTCAAAATGCTTGCCTCCAGGGAGTAGCCTAGTTTCACCCTCTTCATAAAAGCCCCATTTGTTCTCCTGGCAGTCCACAGTATGTTCAACACTTCTCCAGCACCACAACTCAAAGGCATTGATCCTTCTTTTATCATCCTTAGTTACTGTATAGCTCTCAGATGCACAGTAAGTGGATCAGGCATACCTCAGTCTCCAGAGTGACATCACTGTTCTTCAGTACTCTAGAGATGTCCCTGACAGCAGACTTTCCCAATATAGTTTGACTTTTGACTTCTGACTGCTGATGTCAAGAGTGCCAACTGTGGAACCAAGCAAGTTAGCTGAAGTTGTTAACTGGAATCTCTTCTCCATCCATCATGGTGCTGCCAATTGGCCCAGTGGTGTCTTCTTGATGTTGGGCTTCAATCCATATTGAAGACTACAATTCTTGACATTCTTCAGCAAATGCCTCATGTCCTCTTCAGCAAGGTTATGTCATCTGCGTAACGCAGATTGTTGTTGATGAGTCTTCCTTTAATCTTAGTGCCACATTCCTCCTCATAAAGTCCAGCCTCCCAAATGATCTTTTCTGCATACAGACTGAGAAGGTTTGGAGACAGAATACATCCTTTCCTGATGCACACCTTTCCTGATCCTGAACCATGCAATGTTTCCTTGCTCTGTTCTGCCTACTTCTTCCTGGTCCAAGTATAATTTTCTCAGAAGCACAATTAAGTGTTCTGGGATCTCCATTCTTCTCAAGGTTAGCCACAATTTGTTGTGAACCACTCAGTCAAATGTCTTTGCAAAGTCAGTGAAATATAGATCAACATTCCTCTGGTGCTCTCTGCTTTCAGCCAAGATCCATCTGACATTAGTTATGATGTCCCTAGTGCCACAGCCTCTTCTAAAACAAGCCTGCAGATCTGGCAGTTCTCTGCTGATGTACTGTTCCAGTCATTTATGGATAATCTTCAGCAGGATCTTGCTTGCGTGTTGTATTGTTCAGTAATTTCCACACTCTGTTGGGTCACCTTTCTTTGGAATGAGAATAATTACAGATCTCTTCCAGTCAGTTGGCCAGGTAGTTGTCCTCCAGATTTCTTGAATAACCTGGTGAGCACATCAGGGCAGTATCTGTTTGTTGAAATATGTCACTTGGTATTCCATTAATTCCTGGAGCCTTGTTTTTTGCCAGTTTCTTCAGAGAAGCTTGAATTTCCTCCATCATCATTTCCTCTTGACCATATACTGTTTCATGAAATTCTTCTGTGTCACAAATTCTTTTTGGTATAGTGCCTCTGTGTACTCCTCCCATCTTCTATTGATGGTCATTCAACATTCTGCCCACAGCATCCTTAAGCATTGCAACTTGAGGCTTGAATTTGTGCTTCAGTTCCTTCAGCTTAAGAACTGCTATCAAGTTCGTCCCTTTTGATTTTCCAACTCCAGCTCCTTGCATTTTCATTATAACACTTTGCTTGTCTTCCTGAGATGTCCTTTGAAGTCTTCTGTTCACCTCCTTAACTTCTTGATATATGTTGTTGTTGTTGTTGTTAAGTGCCGTCGAGTCGCAGGCGACTCATAGCAACCCTATGAAGGAGAGTCCTCAACATTTGGGTGTCTTTCATCCTCTCTCCAGGTTCATAGGGTTTCCGGAGGCAAGCTATTACGGAAGTGGATGCCACTCCTGCTTCCAAGCTTGTTTTAAT